TATGTTTGTTATCAACAAAAATACCGGAATTTCATCGAGACAATAACGAATCCTCATGTGCACATTCTTACGCAACCAACACCTCTGATTTGAGTCTTATTTCGGGCCTTACAGAACAAAACATTAACTTTGCCATTATAATCATATGGGAGGCGGATGTGGTTGGGTATCATCTAGTGAGCTCATAGCTCACAGTTTATCTAATTTTGAGTGTGCATGATTTGTTCAGATAGGGTACATGTGCGAAATATATATAATAAAAAGAATCGTACTGGTCTTCATATTTTGCTTCAGTATGAACAAAACGTTACAAAAATAAAAAAAAAATGTTTGTTCTAATTTTTATATCAAACTCTCTGGAAAAAAATACACGGAACTTAGTAAAATAGTGGAAAAGAACAAGATTTAAACAATAGGTACTGTGAGTACTGAGATCACTAAGTGATACCCCGCCTCCCAAATGATTATAATGGAAAAGTCCATGCTTTGCTCTGGTGAACAAAAATGAGCATCAGATCAAAAAGTAAAATAGAAAGTACACAATAGCATTACGTAATAAAGAAACTTTGAAAGAATCATTAAATTTTATTCAGTGACATAGGATGAGTTGCAGATAAGAGATGGGAACTTAAAGTATTATGGAAATAATGGCAGTGTCCATGTTTTGCTATGGGAAATCCGAAAAAAAAATTGTCCGATCAAAAAATAAAGTAGAAGATGCACAATGACCCTATTTAAGGATATTCGATCCCCAGCCAGGTGGGATAACTCCAGAATTTAATATATAATTTGAAATGCATTAAAATGAGGCTTGAAAATAAAAATTTTTCATGCAACAATTTTCATTTTATTCATCTTTGTAAGATTCAAGGTTTTTGGAAGTCTTAGGAAAGGTCTTATAAAAATTGACATTTGTACCCCATAAAAGGAAAAAAAAAGACACTTTTGGAGAAGTAAGATTTTCTTGAATCCAGCCTTAGATATCAAAGCTTATTAGCATAATATAAAGTAAGGAGTGATTTGTGGTGTCTTGTAATGGTAGCAAAAACCTTTTACACTATGAATTATACGATACATGACTGAAATAGAAGACCAAATAAGTATAAAAATCATGACAATTTCTCTGAATGCCTGGATACCTATCGTTTTTTAACCTAAAATATATTTGTTGATCAATTTGCAATTAGAAAATGCATTGCTGATATTCCAATTCACTTTTTCTGCAAAAATATTGGAGATTTGACAATTTTCCCTATATAATATGATTAACTTTAATCTTTAACTTTAAAGAAATACTGTGGATGAATTTACATAAGTTTGTGGATTCAAAGATACTTTTATGATAAGGATATGGAAATAACGAACAGTATTCAATCTCAACGTCCATTAAACAAATATACAAAACAAGAGCAGAGCAAACACGGACCTCCGAAACATCAGAGGTGGGATCAGGTGCCATGGAGGAGTGAGCATCCCCTGCTGACCGGTCACACCCGCCGTGTGCTCATTGTCATAATCAGGAAATAACGGAAAAAATCCGTAGTCAATTCAGTGTATAAATAATGGACTAACAATTGGTATGAGTATTTTTGATTGCTTAACTGCTAATTTTTAAAACCTGAGGATCGGACTACTTTAGCAAAGATTTTGTGAATGTCTTTTAAATTTCATTCAGCGGTATGAGTGGAGTTGTGGATAAGAAATTGGTATCCTAAAGCTTAACAGAAGGACATCCCGATCACTAACCTTACTCTATTTAAACAGGGGGTTTAGTAATACATACTACTGCTGCTCTTTTCTATCAGTACGATGGCTTTCCAGCATCGAAATATAATGTTCATCTAGCCCTTTGGGCTCGATATAAATTGTTTACTCCTTTACTTTACTTCTTTAGATTCTGAATTATCGCATTGCACTTTAAAATAGCAATAATTGTATAATGTTATAAGATCAACATATTTATTTTACCCCCGCTTGAAAAGTTGGAGGGTATATAGTAATCGGTATCAGTCCGTCTGTCTGTCTGTTCCGCTTTGGTGTAACCATCTCTTATCAGCATCTTATACCATGCACTGAGTGAAATTTAATTAAGCTTTCACAGAATCTTTATTATATATTGCCATTGTACCCCTCCTATTTTACTTTTTGAATCGACACATATTTTGGGTTTCACAGCAAAACATGGGTCATTTAGTGTTCTCATTGCTCACAGTACCTCTAGTTTTTTCCTATTTAGCCAGTTGAGAATTTTGGCTAATAGTTCTCTTTTTTGCCTTCTAAAAATTTCAACTTGAATCTACACGGGGTCATTATACCCCCAGCTAATAAAGGTAGGTATATAGTAATCGGTATGTCCGCCCGTCCGTCTGTTACGCTTTGGGGTACCCATCTCTTATCCGCAACTCCTCTATATCACTGAATGAAATTTGATGAGACTTTCACAGAATCTTTATTATATATTGCCATTGTGTACCTCCTATTTTACTTTTTGATCCGACACATATTTTTGGTCTCCCATAAGAAAACATGGACACTCAATTAAAAAGATATGAGAGACGGGGGTATCATTTAGTGAGTTCATTGCTCGAAGTATCTCTAGTTTTTCTTCACGTGGGTATGAAAACGTTTATCGTTATGACACTTTTTTTACGGGGAAAGGGTCATTTTCTGATGTCGAATAATGACCCGTCATTATTCTATGGAGATCATTATATGTCTCTACACCGAACGTGCATTCGGTGCAGTACTTAGTATGCATAAGCACCATATATGTATATGTGCAATAAAGCAAAATCAAAATATATTGTTGTTAATATCATATACGTATATATTTAAATATACCAGTACTAGAAATGAATAAAAAACATGTGTGTGCTCCACCGAGCACCATTTCCAAAAAATACGTTCATATCATGCAATATCTCCCGCTATTCTCCGAAACGCGGGGAAACACTGTTACCAACGAGTCCGTCATATTATTTTCATACTGTTTTCATAGTTTTGGCCCAAAGGTTCTTTAGAAGAGGATTGTAAAAAAAAATTACATTCTCATTTGATTTGATCCACTGGCTCTTGAAAAAGGAAAACATTTTAAGTTTACAGGCCGACATATAGACAGACTACAGACCGGCAGATGGACGGACATCGGGTGACCACGAAAGCTACCATGCGCTTCAAATGAACTAAAAAGTATTAAGTTTACGGACAGACAAACAAATCTGCGTGGTTAAAACGCTAAGCAAGGGGTGAAGATTATAATTATATATATTTTGCTGAGAATTCATGTGAGTCTAAAAGTAAAGAGTTATAAGGATGTTGGTCCCAAGACGGTGGCAAAAATCTCACACCCTAATGTATAGTTAACCTTTATAACCTAATTTATGTAAATTAATTTTAAGAAAATTTTACCGTGTATAGATTTAAATATTGAATTTCTCATTATCATTTTAAGCATAAAGTACTAGGCAAAAGTTTTAAATTAAATGTTAAAGGTATTTAAGTGACTTACATTTATTTTAAAAGAGTAATCGCAAATCATTTTGTCTGCATAAAAGTACGACGAGATTAGAAATATTTAGTTTGTTGTTCATAGATGGTCATTAAGAATAGAAGACATTTATAATAGAGACTAGATTTCAATTGCATTTTACAATTAAAATATACTTCTACGCTACTTTTTAAACATGTAGTATAAAGTTGTGTAAATGGTTCCTAGTATTCAAGCTTAAAATCGTTGAAATTTTACTTTGAAAAGTTTAACACATAATTTACTTATAAACTCAATCGATCTTATTATTAGTGTTCGTGTTTTTATAGGTAAGATACGCCATATATCCCTTTAAATTAATCATTTTTAGAGTTTAAAGGATTTGTCATGTTATCATTATAACAAACACCTGTGTGTTCATATTTTACTGCAAATCGGGGTATCATTCTAAATAAATTTAACCTCACAACCTCTGTTCTTATCTAACGTGCACATTAAAAACTACATAAATCAGGTAAAGACTATACCCGACGAACATGGCTGCTTATACGACCAAAAATATTTATTAGGCTTTCCTCAACAACACATTACAAAGTGTAACTATTGATATTATATGTGAAGAATGTGATAAATTCATATGCGCTGATTGTGCGAAAACAGATCATAGGAATTATGAATGGAAAACAAGGAATTATGAATGGAAAACAATACCCACGGCAGCCAGCCAAAAGAGAAGAGATTTGTTCACATTTCTAAGAAAGATTAAAGAAGAGGATCTACATAAAGTTGATGAGAAGCTATAGAAGATGTCAATCCAAATCACAGAAAATAAAGAACTGCATGACTCTGAGATTAAAAAGCTTCAGAGGCATTTCGCTGAGATAATGACCAGGCTGAACGAAATAAAAAGCGCAATGAAAGCACTATTCAAGACAACTTGATTAAAAAGAATGATCAAGTGAACTTTGTGAAATCTGAGTTAGAAAAGTTAAAAAAAGAAGAAGAAGGGAATCGTTGACAAAGTTGAATTTATGGAAAAGAACAACTACTCCATGTCAGATTACAGCTTGATTGAGAATCACAGAGAACTGACAAAAATGCTGTCCGAGTTGGAGGTTCATACGACAAACTGTGAACAAAACATGCATTCAGTGAGGTTCAGTAAAGGTGAAATCAATGATGACTTTCTCGGGTCTTTGGTTGGAAAAACATTGGAATTAGACAGCATTGGTGCGACTCAAATAAACTCATTTCAATATGGAGATAAAAGAATACTGTCATTGGCGACATTCAGTGAAGACCAATGTAATATTCATGAACTAAATTCAAATTACACAGATAAAGTCAATCTGCAAGGGACAAAAGATCAAACATTTAATATTTTCCCAATATTTTCTGAAAGCGGTGATGTTTATTTCACTGACTTCCATTAGAAGTTCATCAGCTGTCTGTCACCATCAGAATCTGTCTCTACATTCATCAGTACAGATCCACTGCGACCATTAGGAATCTGTCAGTCAGTGGACGGTGGACTACTGGTCACCTTTAGAGACATTAAATCAGATGCTTACAAATTAGAGCCACATAGGAAACGTCTGGCGAGACACGTCACAATGACAGGTGATGTCATCCATGAATATGAGTACTAGGAGGACGGTCAGACCAGAATCTTTACAGTGCCACGTAGAGTCACACAGAATAGTAACAATGATTTCTCTGTCGTGAATCTTACAAGTCTCACTACAGGTGAACAAGTGATTATGTCTTCTTCTGGTCAAGTGAAGTCTGTTTACCGAGGACAGAACCTGACAAAGAAGTTTAATCCATTAGATGTAGTTTGTGACTCCTACTGTAACTTCCTTGTTACAGACTTTGACAACAACCAGATTCATCTACAGAGTCCTGAGGGAAAGTTCCTGAAGTCCTTTCTGACAGACAATGAAGTGAACCATCCATCCTCACTGTCCCTGTACAAGTCTACACTGTGGGTGGGATACTGGGAAGGAGTTGTAAAAGTGTTTCAATACAAAGGTTTAAGATAAATTTAAAGTCATACAAGTGCAGTGCATGTTCCTGTTATCAAACTATTTCCATTTCGCTTAATATTTTTATCAGATTATGTCACAAATGTGAAAAACGATTTACTAAATATCCTGAAGAATGTGGAATTAAACTAATTATAGGAGTTTTAGATCTGCATTCTAGTTGTCGCAAGACACAGAAAAAAGTCTTTGTTTTCCCATAGACCTTAAAATTCTACTTAATTTATTTCATTTAACATGAATTCTGAGAAGTACTGTGATTAATAAATGTTTTCCTAGAAGACTTCATTTTTTTCTATAAGTTCTCAAAAATCCAAGAGAATCCGGTTTTTCTTGCCATTGACGGATTTAAGGGTGGACTACCTATAAATCAGCCCCCATCCTACCAAAATCAAACCCTGGATACACCCTGGTTTGCATATGGATTTTTTTTTAGTTTTTAACTATCTTCGTATAATGTTCCAAAAGTAAAAAAAAAATGTTTAACTTTTATACTGCATTCCATATTATAAAATTGTCTTTGAAGTTTTGCATGAAAAAGTAGGAAAAAAAACGTACATAGACAATGATGAATAATAGTTTGCTTATGAATAAATGGCATGAATATAAAAATAAAATGCCTTGTAAAAACGTCAGCTGCATTTAAGATTTTCAATCTGCTTAGAATACCAAGCTAATTTAAGTCTTTCTATGCAAGTGTTTACCCATATTTCAAAAACCAACCTATATATTCACAAAATACAAACAAACCAAAAAAGTAAATAAAAAAAAACAACAAGTTTTACAGTGATAAAAGTTACGTCATTCAAAGGAGTTGATTTTATTTGTATAATCTTTTTGTAAAAATAACTATACTTTTGCACAATCAAGCTATTATACCGATGTGCCATACTGTAGATGGTCTTCTAACCATTTTGTTTGCTTTCTGATATTGGGAGTCAAAAACCAAGGTGCATGTGGACGTTGAATAAACAGAAAAAAAACACTTTGGAATGGACCTATCTAGTTCAAAGGTTTAACGTTTAAAGTTTAAAGATTTTTAGATCACCTGGACGAAGTTGTAGAGAGCTAACTTGATACCCTCAGTGTCAGTGTCGGCGTCAAAGATTAAACATTTTTGGAACAGATTTCTTTTAATCATGTGCTCCACATTTATCAGATACGCGTTGCATATTTGGAGACAACGAACAGTATAGGAGCTCAAAAGTCCTTTAAAAATTACAAAACAGGAGTGGAGCAAACACGGACTTCCAGAACAGAGGTAGGATCAGGTGTCACGGAGAAGTAAGCATCCCCTGTAGATCGATCACTCCCTCTGTGTGCTCTTTATTATGCTCGGGATGGACTATGCATTTTATATGTTTTGCACATGTCTAGGTGGTTTTGGCTCAATTTTACACTTTTTTGTTGTTTAAAAAATTTACCGCTTTTCCGTGAGGTTAATTAAAACCATGCTTTTTTTTATCATACAATGATTACATTACGTGGTAAACAGTAAATAATTTTGAGAAACCTTCTATAGGAAAAATCAACTTCCGTTATTTATTATTACATTATTATTTTTGTTTAAATTTATTCTTAGCAATATATAATTAGGTCACGATGTCAAAGTTCAGGACTTGACAAAAACCCTATTCTGAATAACCAGTTTATGAGGAAGACAATACACATGGTCCATATTACAGGTTCTAGAATTAAGATTTTATATATACATGTGATTTATATGAGTAACTTTATGAAGCCTTATTAGGTAAAGGTTACAGCTGAGATGATCACATCAACTCTGTGTTTTGTTTGATCTGATGTTCAGGTCATTTCAGCAAGACATGACAAATCTTTTCAGAACAAGTGGCTGTTAAAATGAAGATTTTTTTGTATAACCCGATGACAAAGTATGATAAAAGAAAAATTTAAGGATCAATTATAAAATGTTATATAATATTAATTATATACCCCTGGGCCTCAGGGGGTTGTCAAATATACTGAAATGAAAAAGAAACGTAGAGACTTGGTAAACCTTTCATGTACTTTAATTGAAAGCTATTTGTTCAAGTTATTTTTCCATTTCTGTTAATTTACAATTAAAATCATTTTAATCAACAAGTTAACAAAATCTCATTTAAATTTGACTGATAGTCAAGAGCTATTAAAATTCAAAAGACAATACCCATAAAAAATGAAGAAAAGAATCTCAATATCTCCATCGTATCACAACATTGCTTATCCTCAGCATGGACTTCCTCAGGACCTTTATCTTTCTAATAGGGATATTTATTCAACCCTTTCTTCGTGGTAGCCCCAAATTGGTCAAGAAAAGCAACGCTAAATCGTCGCCTTCAATCTATGACGTCAAGTGATTATAACAGATTTGCAACTGGTAAAAAAGATGTAATTTACCGAAATTAGTTGAAGGTATATAGACATGATACATGAAGGATTTGGAGATAACGAACAGTATTCAATATGAAAGTCCATAAAATTCCTGAATGAAAAATTTCAACCGATCGGCCCAGCCGTCATGATTTGATAACCGTAATACACATTATGGTCATCAGCTTTCCTACTGTGAAAGGATACAACAGAGGAGTGGGTGGGTCCTACACAACCAATTAAAGCGCATGTTTTATTGAACGTAACCCGTGATCAATACAGTCAATTGTCAAATTAAATTGTGTCAGCTATTTCGGTGTAGTGTATGCTGAGTCATTTTAACAATATGATGTCCTTCATACAGTGTATACAGATTTGTTTCGAGACATATCAGAAAATTCCCAGTATCTAATTATGATGATGACAAATTTGTTTTCAACATCAAAATTATTTAAGCATTTAAAATCACATACAACTCAGAGGAACTACTGGTTTTTCCAAGGTTATATGTTCAGAACTAAAAAAAACCAATAGTATGACGAGTAAACAGAATTCCGGGCGTATCGCTGCAGCTATATCATTATTGATCTATTTAGAGAAAGATGTTTACTAAGAAGAATGAACCGGGTTTTGTTATATTTACTGTTAAAAATACATGCTTTAACGTTTTTGTCAGAGATAATGCATGGATGACATTTTTAAAGTGCCTTCATCCATGCACAATGCGATCTTTTATCTGATAACAACTTTATTTAGTATTTCTACTTTAATTGTAAAGAAAAAACATCAAGACACGTCTAATATTTCAATAGATCCGAAACTTAGTAAATGGTATTTACGAAATTCGCTTAACAAAGGCAGGAAGGACATTAAAATTTGTTAATATATCTTCAGAAGAATTTCTATCCTTGTACATGATAACCGCCACTTGGAACTTGGAATAATGAATATTTCAATATTGAAGATTGGGAAACTGTTAAGAGGAAAGAGTGCCAGTTTACAAAAAAAGCCTTTGAATTTGATGTACTGGTAAGCTGTTGGCTGAAGTATACATAAGTAAGTTTTAAATTATAGAGAACCTGAAACAAATTATTACGGATACATTCTGCATTAATCTATTCAAAATAACGTTTTTTGTAAGTTACTTCTCAAATGGAATTTCATAAAAACTTGCACATGAGCTTTGTCATCAGTTTGCCAATCTCTGCTAATTAAAATTAACAGGTGATTTCTTTGAAAACTAAAAACCTAAAAATAATTTTTAACCTCGTTTTGTCGAACTGAATGAACGAAAAATGTTTGCATTATCCCGACAAGGATTTGAGATATTACGGGTAAAATACTTAATAAAAGGTTAGAGAGGTCTTAATCCAAATAACTTTGACATACCGGTATCCGTGGTACTCGAATACTCGGTGTTTGAGACACAGAAGATCAATTGTGTTTAATTGATAGAAAGGAGGAAGATAGAAGTGAACATGAATTGGGAGATTCTTTATATGCCTTATGTACTTTTAAATCAAAGCAATTTGAATTACCTTTTTTTAAGTTTAATATGATTTTGAACTAATTTTATTTGATATCTGTGTATTGGGTTATGTTCGTGTTGTGTTATTTTTGCCCTTTAATACTTGAAAACAATTTTGTCCCGTTTTAAATTCGCCAAGTCATACTTTTGTTTAAGATATTACACTGCATTCTTTCAATTTGCAGCGTTTTAAATTCGCCCAAATAAGGATAGGGCGCAATGGGCAAAAATAAAACGCGGCGAAATTTTCCCTGTATACAGAATCAAAAATAGAAGGCTGTTTATGCGAAACCTTAATTATTCTTTCCCTGATATTTTGACTTTTTGGCACAGATTTGAAAAATGAAACGAGCACATTCCGACACAGAAGATTCTGATTCGTCAGGTAATTCTTCCGATTCTCTGTCGGACCAAGAGTATGAGCCTACACCCGGGAGCCCAAAAGGTCACAATGGTAGGAAATATATAACACTTAGCAATTATTGTATAGTAAATACCTCGTATGTTCATATTCATATTTATACCCCCCGCTTGAAAAGTGGGGGGTATATAGTAATCGGTATTTCCGTCCGTTCGTCTGTCCGTCCGTCCGTCTGTTACGCTTTGGGGTACCCGTCTCTTATCCGCAACTCCTCTCATACCACTGAAGGAAATTTAATGAAACTTTCACAGATTCTTAACTACATATTGCCATTGTGCACCTCCTATTTTACTTTTTGATCTGACATATATTTTGGATTTTCCAGACCAAAACATGTACACTGCCATTATATTCATATGGGAGGCGGGGGTATCATTTAGTGAGCTCATTGCTCACAGTACCTCTAGTTATCTTTTAAGTTAATTAGTACTTATTAAATACTCCAACGTAGAGTTGACAAAATCCTTAAAGGGGCCCTTGTGAAAGGCACATGGGTCACAATGCTCAGCTGAGACATTACTGATGACTTTGCTGTTCTTGGAAATATTATCCATTACTGAGTCCATCCTAACCCTAAATTGTTTTTAAAAAAATGAAAGAACATTTTGTTATTATATACCTCTCCTCTTGAGAAGATTCCATGCGGATTTGCTTTGTAATCCTTATTGAAATGTTACTCAACTATTTTAATTCTCTATTTGGACCATGATACATGATGGAAGAAAAAATAACCATACACAACACAGTGATTCTTGAAATTTTTATTTGCTATTTTCAACCAAATAAAAAGACAAAAGATCTATATTTAAGAAGTGATAAGGATTATGCTTGCTGTGATCCTGATTTTCTTTAAAAAAGAATTTCAGTTTCTAATACACAACATATTGAAAACACGAATTAAAGAAACTGAAATATACTACTAGGTATACACAAAACTATAATTGTTATTTATGCATATGTCTTATATGTACATTTATCGTATCACTCTATTATGTAAACATGCAGCGAGCAAATATCTTCATACCTGTAGGAAATATATGGAGATAGCGAACAGTATTCAAGCTCGAAAGTCTTTAAAAAATGCAAAATAGAAATGGGAGCGGAGCTAACACGGACCTCCAAAACGTCAGAAGTGCCCTGGAGGAGTGAGCAGGTACATGTATATTGCTGCATAAGTAAGGGGAGTTGACTATTGGAAAGTTAAAGTCATCACATTTATCATAGAGTTTTGGTTGTATGAAGCTTTTCACAGGTCACAGATTATTACATGACCTAATCAACGGCGTAATAATATCTACATAAAACGCATTTTTTCACGATTTAAATAATGTACATACTTTTCATGTAACAAAAAAAAATGTACAAATCTCATAACATATACTCGATGAAGAGTTTCAATGATTGGAAGGATATTATTTTGTGACCTTTTTGATAAAAATAAAAGCACACGAGGGTAGTCCCAAACTTTCTTACATCTATGAAAATAGATTAAACCAATTGTATTTCTCCCTCAATCTATTCATGAATTTTTACTCCTGATGTCTTATGCTGTTATTTTTTGTTTCAAAAATATCTGGTGATCTTGAAAAATCATCAGTTGGTAAGATAAGTTATACAGTTGTTGTACATCGCATATGGCCACTTTATAACTCTTAATTGTTCTAATTGATTAAAATGTAATAACGGCAGATGGTTAAAATAAGTAAAAGTTAATTGAATTATCGTCATAAATTATTTTCCAAATACTAGCATTTTTATTGCTTTCAGATGGAGGACTCGTCGCTTCAAAAGAACTTGATAATTATTTCCGATACTTTTTGCTTTTACAACTCGCGGTTGATGCTGTTCGAATATGGTTTGATTCTGTTATTCCACCACAGAAATTACATAAACACTTACGACGATACAGGAAAAGGTCTCTAAAGAATTGTAGTGATGAACAAAAGGACATTTTATTCGGAGGTTTGAACTAAGAATGAATACTTTGTCGACTGTATGCTCATCAAGAATGAAAAAAAGTAAATGGAAAACGTTATAAAAACATAGAGTTATAATAAGTACTTGTTATTATTTAAAAACTAAAACATGTTGCATGTCAAATGTAATGTATTATCATACAATTCAAATTAAGGTGATAGACCTGTAACATCATTAAAGTTCGACATCACCCTCATCTACAAGATAATACGAACTACGACAAATTTGAAGCAACCAGAGAAGGGATGGGGACAAATACCAGACACCTCAAACACAGAGCCAGTAGATGACTTGGAGCGGGTCAGGATACATCGTAACACACACTTCCACGGTCCGCCGTCAATAAAAGAAGAAATCTTTCAGGAGAGATGGCTGGAAATGTCGGAGGTAAGCCAGATTTCATAACACAACTTTGTAGACTCGCCACGATTTGATCGAGATCTTTTAATGTCCTCATTTTGGGACATGTGGTCATTTATGTTAGCATGTTTTTAGTCGTCATTTCTTTTGATTTCTCTATAAGGCCTCTTCATTTGTTCAAATAATGGCTTTTCAATGGCAAGCTAAATGTATCGAAAAACGTTGATGAAAAAGGCTATCAATAGTCTCGTATAAGGTCTTTATCTCGCAAATTCTATGGTCGACACAATGACAATGTCAGCAAAAACAATCTATCATTAAATACAAGCATTGACTCAAGTTTTCATACAAATTGTTAGGCCATTATCTACACACTGAATTGTTGAGGGATTTACCCGTTTTTCCCGATCCTGACAAGAACACAGGGCGGTTTTGACCGGTTGACTAGGGATATCCATACCTCCATGGCATCTCTGACGTTTTAGAGGTCCATGTTTAACATGCACCTGATTTTTATTGTTTAAATAAATGAACGTTTAAGCTTAAATCATCTTATTTCACATACTTGCATACACCGATGCGACAACAGAAACACACAAGAACCTATATTCTTATTTCTGATGCATATTTTGTATTTTGCATGTATATGTACCTTTAATACCCATTATATTACCCGTATACTTTCTTATATGAAGGCTTAAGATGAAGGATATGAAGTTAACGAACAATATTCAATATCAAAGTCCATAAAATTATACAAAATAGGAGTAGAGCAAACACGGACCTCTAAAACATCAGTGGTGGGATCAGGTGCCATGGAAGAGTGAGCATCCCTTGCTTACCGGTCAAACCCGCAGTGTGCTTCTTGTCATAATCGGGAAATAACGGGAAAATCCGTCGTCAATTCAGTGTATAAATAATGAATATACAATTAGTATGAAAAACGTCAGACAGCATTTGACTCAATGAAAATTTGTTTTTGCTGACAAGGTCATTGTATCGACAAAGAACTTACGAAATGATGACTTCTAACAAGACTTCTGATGTTCTTGTTTCATCAACTTGTTTGTCAATAATCTACCTCATTTTAGAAATTGTTCATAGGTAAATGGTGAAAACTAAAAGTAAAACTACATTGTCTTAATGTAATTGTAGGTAATAAAAAGACTTGGAAAAGATCGATTGAAGAGTAAAGTGGATGCATTGAAAACTAAGATTTTAGACCATGCAATGCGAGCAGATTTATCACTGCAATTTCCTGCTTTACAGCAACAAATTCAAGATCTTAAAAAAGGATTAGAATACCATGTAACAAAAAACTTACAATGTATGTTCCATGTTTATTATCTATGCGATTTCATTGCATTGCTTGACGCAGTGGTTATGTAGATTGTTATGCTACATATGTACATACATGTATAGAAGATCGTTGGTTCGGTTCATAACACGAGTTATTGAGACCAGAAATATCAGGGGTTAGTTATTTGCCATATAAAGCTTCAACGTAAAATTACACGGCCCCTGTAAGCAATGTAAACCGAGGTCCCGTATGGCACAGTTAAGGTGCTTTGAGAAAAAAGATCCCTTACTACTAAGTGGGCATAACTGCCGACTACTGGTGTAAATTTACAACACTCCAAAGCAATTGGTGTTCCAACAAAAAAATCAATGTCAATTTTACTGTGAGCAGTTAAATTAAGAAGGTTTGAGAAATAATTTTTTCCTGAATGGTTTTCTGAAATGCAAATAACGTTCAATTCTTTTCAGTATATTTCATTATAAAACAATCTAGATTTAAAATAGCCTATGTATAACCAAGAATCTATATTTATCCAATGTTTTTCACTATCTACAGAGAATAATAATACATTTTTCCAAAATTTTGGGGGATACACCAGTGGTCGAATGGAATTCAAACTCATTCTTAAAGAAAAGGTTATAACATTTATTATAGGCCAATTATGTTTTTAAAAAAACAAGTTTTTGTGGACTGTCCAGTTCCTCTGTTTTTAAACTTATCTTCTGTATATCCACTTGAAAATAATAACTGCTGACCACAAAGCTTTCTTTGAAGAGGATTTATATATATTATTCAATTTTTTATAAATAACAACTTCTATAAACAAAAAATGAGTAGAGAAAATTATATACAAAATTTGAATAAACATATTTATATTTTATATTATCATGTAATAGAACTTGCTTGAAAACGATTAAAGTACAGATTCATACGAGAATCTATGACAACAGTTTTTAACTGAAAATTGTACATCTTATCTTAAATGTACGAAAGCCCAGAAGGCTCATTCGAGATTCAGGTTTCGAAATACGAGATTCAAACTTCGAGATTCGAAATTCAAGCTTCGAGATTCAAGATCCAGATTAACCAATCAAAACGCTCATTCGAGATTCGATGTTCGAAATTCGAGTTTCGAGATTCAAAATCCAGATTAACCAATCAAATGCGGGTTCAACATTGATTACTTCCCTTTATTATGTTTAATCTATCAATAAATCGTTTAATATATTTATAACAAATGAGTCATTTGAATAAATTACAATGCAAGAAAGAGTGTTATATATATTAGAAAGAAAGTTAAATAATCATTTGATTTTTGGTCAGCAAGATATACTTTAATTTATATTATGACTTCTTAAATATTAAATAGAATACATAATCAGGAATATATATATTTTTGCATTGTCTACTATATATAAAGGATTGTTGACATAATAATAAAGATATAAATAGTGACTAAAGATTAACAAAATCCTTGTAGCCTTGATAAATAAAAACCGAGTATATTTTAGTCTTTGACCATAACGCTATGGTCAGAGACTAAAATATAAAACCATAACGCTATAGTTCTGCAGCTAATTTAGACTAATCTACTGTTTGATATCAGATAAAATGAATGCTGCATTTATTCTAATTCATATTTGCAATCTGTATTGTATATATAATTGTTAATTAGTTCATGAAATCAAAGCCTTAGATGAAGATAACTAATTGAAAACTTTATTTTAATGTATTCCCTCTATTAGGAAAACGAGCGCGGTTTTTATTTATCAAGGCTACCTTGCCTTTCAAATTTTTAAAGTAACATTTTCAGTGTCGGGAAAAATTGGCAAGTGTTGCCGGTAGGGGTGGGGATTTTGTAAATCTTTAGACACTATTTATAACTGTATTATTATGTCAGCAACCCTTTATATACAGTAGACAATGCAAAAAAATATATATATTCCTGATATATGTATTCTATTTAATATTTAAAAAGCCATTATGTGATTTGAAGTATATATCGCTGATCAAAAATCAAATGATTATTTAACTTTCCTTCTAATATATACAACACTCTTTCTTGTATTGTAATTTATTCAAATGACTCATTTGTTATAAATATATTAAACGATTTATTGATAGATAAAACATAATAAAGGGAAGTAATCAAATGTTGAACCCGTATTTGATTAGTTAATCTGGATTTTGAATCTCGAAACTCGAATTTCAAATCTCGAATTTCGAACCTCGAATCTCGAACGAGCCTTTTGATTGGTTAATCTGGATCTTGAATCTCGAAACTCGAATTTCGAATCTCGAATTTTGAATCTCGTATTTCGAAACTTGAATCTCGAATGAGCCTTCTGGGCTTTCGTATAAATGAATATAATCTATCAATATTAATTAATTATGTGTGTTTACAGTGCAACACGACAAAATTATAAAGAAGTGGAGAGAGGAGGATGAAGTCTTCTTTCGGACAGGAATATGCAGCTCGGTTAGTGATAAAATCAGGTCCCTAGGCTACTTGACAGTGACTGGCAGTAGTGGAACGGGAAAATCGTCTCTCATTCGTCACTTTGCTTTGAAGCTTGTCGAGGAAGGGTTTAATATTATCCCAGTGACAAGACTTGATGAGATGATTCTACTAGGAAATCTTAGCAGCAGACAGGTGTTTGTAGTTGATGATGTATTAGGTGTACATGGTATGGATAAAAGCTTATTTAGTAATCTGAAGGCGATATCAGAGCGAATTTTTTGTTTTATAGATTCCGGTTCGAAACTGTTGATGAGTCTTGTGTCTGTTGTATTTAACGAATCTAAATTACTCAATAGTTTTGTTACTTGTGAAAAACATGTCATTGATTTGGGATGTAAACAGAATTATTTAAATGTTAAAGACAAAAAAGGAATGTTAAGGCTTCACTGCGAATATAGAGAAGTAGAACCAAAATTCTTTGAACATTTTGAGTTGAAAACCACCATGCCGATGTTTCCACTATTATGTAATTTGTTTTCATCTAATGATAAATATCAGAGCCTCGGTGAACAATTTTTCATTCAGCCCTATGAGTACTTTTTTTCGGAGTTGGATAGTATGCGTCAGCTCAAGAAAATACATTATGCAGCATTGGTATACTGTGTCATGAGAGATAACTGCATCAATCCAAAAAGCATCGACAGAAAGTGCCTCAAAGATGTATACGACTGCTGCAGAGTGAACAGGTCCACGTCAAACTGGGAACTGATAGACACACTGAGTGTATTAGAGGGCTCTTATCTGATGCTAAATTCAGATGGTAGCTTTTCGTTCACCCAT